TGGATAATTCCCAGCACTGGCAGGTTTTATTACTCACTCAAAAGCAGGGTTGAAACAGAGAGATGGGTACAGGCCAAACGTCACCACTGACCCACAATCATCTTGTCTCTGACGCTTATAGAAGAATGATGCTCCTGTTCTCAGGCACTTCAAAATTAAAAGAGATGAGTGCATTTGTGTTCATTTAATCACATTACTTATCTCGGCAGAAAAACCTGATTCTTTTACAGTCCATCAAATCCCTTTAATGAACAAAACCTAGATCTAAATTACAATAATTATTGCATTCTTGACACAAAATGTATTTCCATGTTGTAATGAATCTCCAAGTCATCTGTAACTTCCAGCACTTTGTAGAACAAGTGTAAGAGAGGGAGAGGGGAGGGGGGAGAGAGCAGGGGGAGGAGGTTAATGTAGGAGGGGGATGGTGAGGGTTGCAGGGTCATGGCTCTTGTAATTACCACAGTCAGGTTCAAGTCCCTGGTCAAGCTGTTGCTGATTTTTTTTTTCTTCCCATAATGCAGTGTTGTCAAGGACTGGCCTTCATGTGGCACAGCATGCCTCCACTGATGCCCCTTTGATTAGGTGTCTTATCTTCCACCGGGCTGCATCCGATGAGAGCCGGGAGCACAGTGATGGCGGGGAAACTGACAGAGAGGTCCATTAAATGGCAGCTTTGTTATGACATGTCAGCCAGGACGTGGTGGATGGTAAGTGGAACTCTTTCGTCATGTCTTCCTTCTCTTCATTTCTTGTGAACGTCACCATCAGGCAAAAATCTGTTTAAAAAAGGGCTGATATTATTTTTGTAATAACCTAATAATATAAATCTACAAAATCTAAAATTTTGTGGTGCCACAGTTGCAGACTTTTGACAATATTTGGGAAAATATGTCTGGAAAATCCATGGCCCGTCTGGAACTGTGACCCTGTCTGAATCAGCTAAATATCATATTCTTCTGATAGCCCCTCTCAAAATTGAATTTACCTGAGGCACCATCAGTTTTATTGCTTTTGGGACTTTGGTTTGTGTCTATATCTGTCCGTGCCCAGGTCATGTCTGACCACAATTGCTTTGGTGAGGGATAATGTGGAAAAGGTTTCATAATGAATGATTTTGGCTAGCACTAATTAGCTAGCTATTATGTGCTAAGAGCTATTTGTTCTAGGTTTTAGTTATTAGAAATATTTTTAAGAGTGTCCATTGCACATTCATTTCTAAGGGAATGTGATTCTTAAGGCCAGCGGTTGTAACTTTGATCACTGAACCCAGTTAACCGAGGATTTTGAAGGTGAGGAGTAATCAAAATGGACTTCAAAAATAATATACATATATATATTTTTAACAGAGATGAATAACTAAAGGAGGTGTTCAGTATGCCTTAAGTATAAGAGCGTTCCTCAAGTGCACCTCTCTGTGCACCCTCTGCAGTGTTGATTTGATAGTGTCGAACAAAGACCCCTTGTCCAGCCCGCGCCTTTCCCATGCTGAAGAGGCAACACAGGCTGACATTTCTCTCTGAATATTTATTTACTTGTCAGACTACAGGCGCGCTTTTATTGTGCTCCATCTCCAGGGTTTAGAGCTGAGGTTTGTCTGTCTGTCTCCATGCATATGAGCTGAAAGAAATGACTCTTTCTCCTCAGGTCAGGCTGTTTCCTCTGATACCTGCTGCTTGATTTAGTCCTGGTTTCAGTCATGTTTGATGTCAGTGTGTGTACATGGCGGCAATGCCTGAATGCTATAATGATATTAATTAGTTTACATATATTAAATGTGGTGTCTTCAAGGCATTTAACGGATGCTGTTTTAAAGGAAGACACAGAGCAAAACAGAATCAGCCTCAACTCTGATTATCTGCCAGTTCATATAAAGACAGACCCTTAGTGCTTTCAAGAATTCAGGAGGGGATTTTAAGAGCAATTTCAGCGAGCAGGGGACAGAACATGATGTGAAGTACATCATGGCCAGAAACAGTGGTTAATTAAAAGTTCATCTTAAAGGTTAGATTAGAGGGATTTAGGCAGGGACTAGCTCATCTGCTGTCTTCTTATGAAAAGTTACTTACAGCCATTATGAAAAGCTCATAGGAAATGGTGCAACAGTAGGAAATGGCATCACACAGACTAAACCACGTACAGCATGATTATCAATGTAACCTTAAAGGAGAAGGGAATCTAGCTCACATACTATTTCGCCATGAGGAGAACATTCAGGTTAAACCAGCAGCAGCAGCCTTGTAGTTGTACTGTCATCAAAAAAAAGAAAAAGAGAATTAAAATTAGCTTGTATTCTCTGACCAGTCTTTACTTTGATTTGTTAAGTTAAATGTCAAACATACTGATACAATAAATGGTACTAGATTATAGATTATAACCAAATGACACAGGTGTTCCCTGCAGTAGCAGTTCTAGTCTATTGCCACCTAATGGTATAAAAAAATAGAGTTATTGTACCTGCTGGCTCACTGTCCCACTGCCATGTCTTACTGGGGACACTTGAAGAACAGAGTAACAGCTGATCCCTTCCTACAATGACATTTTTCTTCTCAACCTGATATCATTATGTTGTTTTATCCAACAGTGTTAATATTTTCATTTCGCAGGGAAATTTCTAACATGTTGGCTAATAAGATAGCACTTTTTATTTTAAAGAGCGATTTGTCATTATTCTGCCAGTTGTTACAACGTTAAGAATCCTGGACCTTCATAGGATGAACCGGTCTTTTCATTCATCCTGATGCTGATTGCCACAGTGCTGTAGTTGTGCAAGTGTTCAGCAAGTAAAGAAAAAGAGAAAGTGAACTTTGTGACTCTCCTGTAAGCATGTGTATAACTTGTGTTGTAAACTGCCTATATGCCACAAAAACATCTCCACCTTTTAAAGGTAGAACTTCAACATGTACAGGACCTCAGGTTTAATTCTCCAGTGGGTCCCAAACCATCAACTAGCAGTTGTGTTTGTAGCCACATGGGGGCGGCAGATCCACATTCAGAGGGATGAAACTGTGAGGGCTCATGCCATGTGCATCATTAGACTGGTATGATATAATGTTGGATAAATAGAAGCAGATGAATTATGGAGTCATTGTTTTGTGATACTGATCGAGCCTTACATGGTATCTCACCCATTAACAACAGTTATGAAGTAAAATGATGTAAGTCTAAAAGTAAAACTTTCTTGAAAAAAAAAGGTAGATAATAGAAACTGAGTGTGGAACAAAATATTCCAAAATGTATTGAATGTACTTTAAATTCCCATTTAGTGGGGGTTTAAATAAGTGTTTTTAAAGGTTTAATAGTCAGAAGAACAAGATCTATTTAGCCTACACCCAACGAATAGCTTTGCCTCAAGGCTGTCACTCAGAGACTTGGCACACCAATGGTATCAGACTGTCCTTGAAACCATCATTGAGTAACACTTTATAATCATTTGGACATGACATGACAACATGACAATTATGACATTTTTAGATATTGGGAATAGTGTGTTCATGTCATGATCACAACGATGAAAGAGCAGCAAAAACTGTTGTCAGACTACCCATTCAATTCATACAATCATTTTCTATTGTTGCTATGATGGCATACAGTAATGGACACCCAGTGAATGATTATTCAGTGCAAGGATACCCAATTTAAATATCCTATCAGTCAACTGCTCTGGCAATATTGAACCATTACTACTATAGCCTACTCAGTACTGCCACAATGACTGTTACTATTATAACACTGCTCACTATTGCTGCTAATACTGTTATTGCTACTACTTTTACTCATATTATGTAATTAGCACTATAAAACTGATTTTAATATTTGACAGATTGAGGAAATGACAGTTACATGATACTCCTACCTAAAAGTAAATGAAATTAGCAGCATAATATAGGGATAATGTAGAGATCAGGTGTACATAGAATAGAATATATGTATGGAGAATATCAGATACTGGTAGCAGCTTATTACTGCCACTTCCTCCGCTTTGTACTGCCACTGCTAGTAATAACAATAATAATAATAATAATAATAATAATATGATTTCCCTTACTGTATATTATAGAGCGATAATTACTGCAGTGTAGTTATTTCCACCATCAGTCAGTGGCTGCATCGCTATTCAGCATTGACTGTCCAGCTCTGTCAAACCCCAAACAGCACGTAAGAGGAGCGGAAATGAGGGGCCCAGGGTACAGACTCCCGGGGCCACTGCTGCTGGCCAATGAGAGGCAAGAATGCAAACACTATTACAAAATGTAGCTGTGTCAAGCTACAGAGAAACAGCTAGATGATACCCATGATAAGTGGTTGGGAAAATTCAAAATAAGAGTTAATGTGTGGAGGCTAAAATTAGTATTTTTGGTATCAGTAGACGTTACTCAAGTTATAACAGCTGTAAACCCTTAATGACGTAGTTTATAGTAGCCACACTAAGATATGAAATTACAAAACAACAACTTTAAACTAGCTAAATGCTGTGCAATGAAAACCATGTAGGCTAGCTATCTCCATATTTGGTGTTTTTTAGGCTTGAAGTTGAACCAAAGGATTAACTGCTTTTTTCAGACAATTCTCACGTTTTGGATTTTTTTTTCTTCAAAACGGTCTAAAACCACATTCAGTTAGGCTATGAAATAAAAATGCTAAAGGCTAAAGGTTCTTTTTCATGAAATGCTTATATTTTTACGTCCGGTTTTCATTCGACAGTGACATAAATATTTAAGAATAATTGTATCTTTTTCTTCTATTTATTACACATAATGTTCACCTAGCTACTTTCTGTGAACAGTTCATACTAATATTGGCTGACAGGCTGCACAAGCATTGACAGACTTTTATCTAGAAAAGTCATACCGGAAGTGATGTTATTTGAAGTTTGTCCAACTTGACAGTCATTGCTGAGAGCCGGGGGGCGGCAGTCAGTCAGACAGTGAAAGTGAAGGCGGAGACCAACCCAGTGCCGAAAACTCAGCCTCTTCTGGATCACGTTCAACTTCACTGAACAACCCCAAAAAACGATCCAAAAAAGTAAGACTCGAAGAGGAAGGAAGACAAGAAAAAAAGAGAAAAAAACGCGAGGTGCTCCTAACTTCTTTTCACCGCTATCTGCCAAGAATTGTCTTCCGGTGTTGACTTTTTTTCTTTTTTTGCGAGCACTGCAAGAGAAAACCCTCCAAAGCACAAAGTTGAACGTGAGAAATGTGAAGCTACCGGCTTGTGTGTTTCAACCAGGCTCCAGGATTCCCTATTAATCCATGCAGTACAGTGCAATGGTACGTGAACATGGATTATTATTGCTTTCAAATGTTGTGATAACGGTCTTTGTGATACCAATTTTTTGTAATACTGTCCTGTCCTCGCGACGATTGAGAAATGTGGAAAGTGGGTTAACTTAACACGGACCACAACATTGGCACGGTCGGGCCAAAATTGTACTAAACTTGGCACAGATTCTCCGGCAGCCTATGTTAACATCCCATTCCCCTTAATTTGGCAAATGAACTCTATGTGGACTGTTGACAGCTCTGTAGGACACACACACACACACACACACACACACACACACACACACACACACACACACACATTGCAGCCACAGAGTAACAATGTTAAACTTCCAGTCCTTTCAGCATTAAAGCTGCAATGTTACAACACACCCAGCTTAGTCATGAGAGTTTTACAGCTCACTAAAAAAACTCATTCAAGTGTTCAGGTAGAGCAGGGTTATAAGGCCCACTGACATAAAATGTCATTTAAAAACTAACTAAAAACATACAAAGTATTTGTAACGTGCCAAAGTTTCAAGTTAGGCAGCCTTTCTTTTTTCTTTTTTCTTACCAATCAAACAGTACAGTTTAATCCTGCAGTGAACAATAAAATGAATGATTTAATACTTGTATAAAATGTGCTTAATCTTCTGTCTTAGATACTATTTATCTTATCAGAATTAATTTGAGGAACTTTTTCACAAAATCTAAAGGCAAAAAAAAAAAAACTGAGTTCATGATGTTTCCCCTGCAATTATGTGGCAAAACTAAACTCAAAAGACCCACTGTTTGTTTTTACTGTGAACCACAGACACCCCGTTGAATTATCTAAACTGGAAAAGGAGTAAGCGCATGTTGTTGACAGGGAGCTCGGGGGTAAAGGGTGCCAGATCCGCGGAGGGGAATTTTCCTTTTCCGTGTCTATGTGACCGAGGCTGTGGTCCAAAGTCCCCGAGGCTCTTATAATAATTCTGCTGGAATGAGGGGCTAAATGAATTGTACGCTGTGTATTAAGATAGCCGAAGAAGAGAAGAAGGTGCTGTGTGGTAGATAGGGGTTGTGTGTTTGGAGGAGGAGGAGTGTGACTGTGTAATTACGTGGGTGAAAAAAAAAAAGAAAAAAAAAGTTGGGTCTGATTTGCTGGAATTGCGCAGGACCGAAGGTGCACCGGTCGATTTCATATCAAGTTTGGTTAAAGCAGGGGTGAACATCACACACTCGGCGCCCTCTGAAGCTCCCCACAATGCTTTTATGAACGAGATATCACTGCACCGAGACGCGCAAAGAGCCCATGTAGTAGAGAGGAGTACGCAGCAGCCCCGTTTGCACCGGCTCTACGAGTAGAATCTGCGAGTGCTCGCTGTGCATGTCAACTTTAAAAAAAATCTCCTGCATAAAATCTCATTTTCTCTGCGGAGACGACAATCTTTGGATCGCAAAAAAATCCATGGATGTTCTTGGATAATCTTTTTGTTTTACGCGGATAGCTGCTCCACAGTCTTGCATGGTGCACATCGGTCCAGGAATGGCGCGATAAAGTGATCAGAGGAATCAGTCCAAGTACATTCACTCTCTGTGTAGCCGTCTCGTCATGTACTCTCCAATTTGTCTTACTCAGGTATTTGTGTCTTTTTTTAAATATACATTTAATTGTTACGAATTCCATATTTGTAATGAAATTGCAGTCAGGGAATAGAAAGTTCTGTGTATGCGCCAGGATTGCAGTTTTCATCTGTGGGTGGGAAATACTTTCACAACTCTTACAAATAACGTAGTTTTGCCATGTGAGTGAAAATATGGCGTTAAAATGAACCAAAATTTATGTTGTTAATCCTTAATGCGCACGTTTGTGCCATAATTGTGGTGATTTTTACTTTCGAGATCTTAGATTTCCACCGAAAGTCAAAATGAAAAAAAAATGTAATAGTCCTATAGACAACTAAAAAGTAAGTAAAGTGCCAATCGCTCTGCGTTCTTTGTGTGCGTAAAGTTGTGCGTAAAGGTGATTTTTTTTTTAAGATAGCACTCCAAAACTTGATGTTCTTCATAGTCCTGTATATTTGGTGCAGGTATCTCCCAGGTTTAATTAGGTTATTTGTGTCCTCTAATAACCTCACACACACTTCCTGGCCTTGCTTGAGCTGTGTTTATATTTTTTTCCACGTGTATATTTTTATTTAGCGTTAAACCCCTATATTTTAGGGAAGTGAAGGTGGAAGGAGATAAAGCCACTTTCACTGTAGGAAGATCAAATGCATGATAAGGTTGTTTCAGGCTTGGACAGAGTAGCTGACTGTTTTGGCTGACTCAGTTTTACTGTTTATATTTTACTTGGCATAAGTAAGTGATTGACTGAGATGTGGTTTAGTTTGTACTTAAGAGGATTGTGCTTTTATGGCCCCAGCTGAAGTGCACTGCATAGGCCCTGGCCAAGTCATTTATCTTTAAAGCATTTGGCTTTAGACTGGTTGAAAAAAATTAACAGAATATTTAAAGTGTTTTTGAACAGGAAACCAGAAGTGAAAAGGATTTCGGAAGCAGCTCCTGCACATCACATTTACTGCTAACTTTTGTCAGTTTAATTGGCAACTTTATAGTGAGGATGTGACATTAAAAGGAGCTCTGAAATATTTTCTTTTAACCTCTTTAAAAGACTGTGGATATGTATAGCATCCATAGTATCCATAGTAAATATAAAACATTTTAAAACTAGAATCTGTAGAGAATAAAATGTTAATTCATGCTGTATGTTAAAAGATTATAATATAACATCAGTATACTGGAGCAGGATTTTATTGGCCCTAAAGTGCAGACCAGAAATGTGGCTTCTCAGAGGAGCACCAGCGGCAGTCACAGATAGGGAGTAGATTTCTGTGGTTTCCTATAGCCTGCCTGCCTTGCTGCTTATAAAAAAGGACAATATGTGGTTTAACTCTTCACAAGCCTGCTCAAAAAAGGCGCTGCTTCTACTTATTAAATTTGACATTTTAATGACCTAAAACAAAGATAAGTTAATGTTTCCTCTTCTCTCTCACAGCTGCTGTAATTTCTGACGACTCTTAAATCTTTCACACCGTCCTCTACATTCCTGCACCTACAAAGAAGAAGCATTAAGTGATTATGATAATTTGTATTAGAATTACTGGAGTGGTATTGGTGTGAAAGCCCGCAGGCCATTGAACTGCTGTGGAAATGTTGGTGTTTCGTTTTTTTAGTTGTAAGGATCGAGAGGAATTCTGTCAAATGCGAACTGCAAAACTTTTCTTTTTTGACGCATATATGCAATGATTTTTCAGTTTAGAATTAAAGATAATGTGGTGTAAAGTTTACTACATCTTAATGCAAATTACACAGAAAACTTCAACTGAATACAACTGATAACCCATATAAATATTTTCACTAATATTGACATGAATATCTGACAATTTATCCGAAAAATAAGTTTCAAGAAGACATTTTAAAAATAATTTAAAGCAAGATGAAACATTTAACGCAGGCCGGTATTTTAACGTCACTGTCTGATCTCAGGGTTTTGGAATGAAGCTGAGCAAGTGTCATTCCGTGTGTTAACCTCATTTTGTACATTCAGCCTGTGTATGATGCTCTGTGCATATGCACTGGAGAATGGGAATCTTCCTTACTTCCTATTTAGTGACTGTGGCCCACCGGGTCGCTACAGCTTATCCACCATCCCTCATGGACATGGGATAAGTTCACGTTGCAGTGTGAATAGTTTGATAAAAGATATGCAACTGTAAGAGGCGCATGCTCTCTGTAGCAGCAGCAGCAGCAGCAGCACGGGAGTCCCGCTCAGAGCATGCTCGTGGAATGAGAGCGGAGACACGAGTGTGTTCAGTCACCGGGCTTGGTGCTATTGTAGTGCTGGCAGTTGATATAAACAGTGGAATTTCCTTGTCATACCTGTACTACGTCCAGATACATCCAGAATGGTAAAACCAGTGTCGCTATGTGAAGAGAAACTTCTCAACTCAAAGCTGTTGAAATTGCCAATAAGATGTGATGTGACTGATTATGAGGGATTGTTTGTTTGTGGTCTGACTTCCCTTCTGCCTCAGATTAGTAGCTGACTAAACCCATATTTCTTCATCGTGTTTGATGACATGAGTTTCTGATTATATGTCTCTCCTTCTCTTTTCCCCTCTCCTCACTGTGTCCCTTTGGATGCTCCAGGATGAATTTCATCCCTTCATCGAGGCACTTCTTCCTCACGTCCGTGCCATCGCCTACACATGGTTCAACCTCCAGGCCAGAAAACGCAAGTACTTCAAGAAGCACGAGAAGCGGATGTCCAAGGACGAGGAGCGTGCGGTGAAGGACGAGCTTCTGAGCGAGAAGCCCGAGGTTAAGCAAAAATGGGCATCCAGGCTGCTGGCCAAGCTGCGTAAGGACATTCGGCAGGAGTACCGGGAGGACTTTGTCCTCAGTGTGACGGGCAAGAAGCACCCGTGCTGTGTGCTATCCAACCCGGACCAGAAGGGCAAGATCCGCCGGATTGACTGTTTGCGGCAGGCCGACAAAGTTTGGCGACTGGACCTGGTGATGGTCATCCTCTTCAAAGGCATCCCTCTGGAAAGTACAGATGGCGAGCGCCTTGTCAAGTCTCCACATTGCACCAACCCAGCACTTTGTGTCCAGCCACACCACATAACAGTGTCGGTCAAGGAGCTGGACTTGTTTCTAGCATACTATGTCCAGGACCAAGGTAGGTTAAAGCTCATACTGTGTGTGTTTGTTTCACTTTGTGTGCGAGCTAACGCGCATGTGTGAATGATGGCTTGGCAAGGTCAAGGGTCACATGTGTTACTTTTTGGCAGCCTTGCAGAGACCGGCTGAAAGCACCACTACATTTGCAAGACAAATAAATATAAGAAACATCATAGTCAGCGCTGTGTATGTGCAGCGTACATTTTATATGGTTCAAATGTGGCTCATTACTAAACAAAAAGACTGTAATCAATACTGAATGTAGAACATGTTTTAAATGTGTCCTTGCTCTGCTGTTCTCCAGTAGCAGCTCCTACTCATGTTTGCTAATTATTCAGCTACCATAATGGACTGTGTGTGTATTATCTCGTACACACACAGTCACACAGGCTTTTACAACTGCACACACACTGTGCACCTGGAGATTAATTGGAAAGTTGCAGGATAGAGTGGTTAAATTAAAATGAACCAACTAGTTTTATATTTTTCAAATACTGAGCCTTTTTGCCAGTAACTCAGGATTCATATAAAGCCTCCTTTATTTCAATATTTGTTTATACTGACAGTATATTTTTAAAAACTGAGGTTGTACTATGTTAAATTATGGCCTTCATTCTGGAGCGTCCCAACCTTCATTCCCATAGTTCCCATTATATAATGTAACATTATGTAATTTTTTTTGTCAATCAAAAATCGCATAAGAACACAATTGTTTTAAAATGAGATTTCCCTCATTAAAAATACACAAACATCGAAGTTACATCACAGCTCAGCATTGAATGTGTGAGTAAACTTTGGGCCTTGTTAATATTTGCAATAAATTTCCGTTGTTAGTTTTGAAGTATATATACGATATACTTATAATGTGTGAGCGAGTTTGTGCTGAAAGAGAAACCTGCGTCTTTTCTTAATTCCTGAAAAGCTGGTTTCTTTAGATGAAAGCCTTTGTGAAAACTGAATTTTTTTCAGCACAGTGTGAAATAAGAGGTTAAAAAAAATTGGAATAGATTTTTGACATATACATTTTTGAATGGCTGTGTTTTTTTATATTAATTATTATAATTTATTTTTTTGCCTTGACATACAACCAGTAGTATGCTGCACACTCATAAAATAATGGCATTCACTGAAACATTTGAGATGATTTAAGCCAAAAATCTATCACGGAAAATTCTTTTTCTTTTCCAAACTGTAAACTAGAGAAAAGAAATTGTGAATTTTCAACCACTATTTGATGACAGAAACATCCCTTTTGAGTCTGATATTTCACATTCAGTTTAATGAGAAGAGGAACAGTAATTGCACAAGTTCTGCTGAAAATATTGTTTAGATAGATGGTGTCAATTTCCTAATCAATGCAGTTTTTGCAATTCTTATTTAGACATCAGATCTATTGATTTTTTTTTTTCAGAATTGAAGGCAACTTAAACACCTTCACCAACTCTTTCAAAATTAAATTGTGTGTCTCAGTTTTGTCACAGCACATAATTAAATTTCAGTCTTTCATGTCTCTCATAGTTTTGAACTTCCTCCCTTTATCTGCTGTCACCATAGGAATCCCTCCTATAGTATTGCCCTCTATTAAATCTATTGCAGCAGCACAGAATAACCACCAACGCTTTGCTTTTGAGGGAGAAATGGTGGTATAGCTAGCTCATTATCATCAAACCTTGAGCGCCATTTTGTGTTTGATAAGTGCCAGGGAAAGCAGAAGGCACAGCACAGAGACAATAATGGTTGCCACTGGCACCGGGGTTGGCATCAGACCCTCTTTTGTGTCTTTTGTAGGATGCCACCGCTTCTCTAGTTTGCATCTGCTGCATTTTTAACTGTTCAGCACCAACTTGAGAATGGTTCTTTGGTGCAGTTTTTTCTTAATATACACCATTTAAATGGTAAGTTAGCGCCTGTATTGTACGTTATTGATGGACATTTCACCAGCTTTTATTTTAGAAAAATGTCTCCGCTCTGGAGGGAGAGCAAATTATTGGCAGGAAGATTAATTTTAGTGTTTGAAATAGATGCCGAAACATACTGTTTACATTTGTCGGTGGATAAATTCAGGCTGATTCACCGTCGCCATCACAGCGATTATTTGCCGCTGTCTTCAAAATTTTTGTTGTTAAAACTTTGGCAAATACAAAATAGCATTCTTTTACCGGGATCACAGAGACGGCGATGCTTTTTTTTTTTTTTTTTCGTTTTTTGCAAGCTACGGCGTCTTTTTCTTTTCTTTAAGTTACCAAGCAGTGCCCATCTCCAGACAATGCAGCCATATTGTGGTAGCGTGCGGCATGGCGCCATTTTGTTTTGCACTGTGCCAGGGAGGCAGGCAAATCACCAGTAATGGTTGTTAGAGGTTTGGAGGTTGGCATCAAACCCTCTTTGTCTGCTTGCAGCATGCCTTTGATTCGTTGGTTGGCATCCGCAATGCAGTGGGCACGTTGGAAAGTTTTTTGACAGTGGCAGAATGGAAGCCGCTGCCTTTGTTCTGCTGCAACTGCACGAAACAAACAAACATACAATCGAACACAAAGAAACTAGCAAACAGCTCTGCCTGAACCAGAATCTGGTATTTGAGCGAACTGCTAGAAAAAATTGGTCCGGACCGTGCTTCTGATATTGCTCTCCCTGTTATCTGGCAGTGGCTCACCTCTGCTGTGTTGTGTAATTGGGTAACATCAAATTTGTTGTTGCCGTTAATTCACTATTATGTTATTTTACGTGGCAAAAATCAAAAAGTTCCGCGTGTATTTGTTTTTGATTCTGGTGGGTCGCTGCCTGAGAAAGGTCGTCGGGTTGGCAGCGAGTGTGCTGGGTGAATTTAGAGAGGGCACTCAGCCCCCTTGTTCTGGGGCACAGACGCATTTAGCTAGGCAGGACTGTAGCACCCATGTGCATGCCCAGATGAATGCCCGCTGGGAAGTAGGCTGGGGGCTGGGAGTGGGGGTTGTGGCATCCATTGTGCCAACTGGCAGGCTGTGTTCAATACAGGGCCCTGGCTTCTCACACACACACACACACACATGCACACACACTGCTGTTGTACTCCAGTGCACTTTTATCAGTCTTTAACTGATAAAACAAGAAGTGCAATTCTTTTTTTCTTTTTTTTCTGTGAATCTTTGCCTCTCCCCACCTGGGTTCATATTTTGCATATCCAGTCTGACAGATTGATGGAATAGTTGTAACAAAGCGTGTAGACAATCATCATGTTAGGACATGCTCGAGTACTGCAGGCCTCGTTTGTATTTGGTTTAAGCTGCTCATCACTTCTTCCTCAACAAATGCAGGAATGTAGTTATTGTATTGTTTTCACTGAAAGTTCTCGGCCTTGAATATTTAAATGTCTTGTTCTCATTAGGCATGCATGCAATTAATAAAATATGAAAATAAAATAATTAAAAAACCATATGTGATTAAGATACACAAGGAATCCAGATAATGAATTTGGAAGAATATTGAGAAAATGTTATGTAAATCATCTGCCGTATATTTTCCTAAACGACATAAATTGTAAATGATTCAACAAGAGGAACAAAGTGGGAACGGTAATAGAGAATAGAAGTGACTGTAAAGAAATCCTAGCATTTTGAAAGGGAAGTGGATTACCTCATAAGCAGTGACAGAAAGGGACTGCTGAGGTAGTCCAATGGGAGACTAAAGAAGTCAAGGTCAAGCAGCTTTCCCATTACTCTGGTGCTGAAAGTTAACACAGCCATAAAACATCATTACCTCGACACACACAACCCCCCCACCCAATAACGTAACTTTTTTTTTTTTTTCCACACCGTCATGAGAGTTTGTGGAAATGGACGGATTACCTCTGTATACACGCTGCCATGTTAATGGAGACCTTGTTTTACGAGTGCTAGACTTAACCTCTGCCCCCGGGGTCGTGACCTTTGCAAAGAGATGTGGCAGGGTGTCCTCTGAAGTTTAATTGAGCAAATCAGATCAGTGAAAACGCGCCGTTGCAGGCCCAGGGCATGTGGAGGAGAAAGACTTTTTGCCTGGGGGAGTGGTGGTCAGGGGAGGAGGTGGGGGAGCTGCTCGTAAGCCCCCCTTGTTGACCTCCACAATCGGGGTCAAACCGCGGCGGTCGCAGTATCACCGGAGGTCTCTTGGCAACTGTTTTTCTCCACTCCCCCGCCACTCCTGGTTTGGCTGGTGGTCCCTTGGTTCACTGGCCTAAGTGAGGGGGAGTAGGCACCAGTGACTCTCCCACCCCACACCTCTTAACCCCCCACTCTCCAATTCCTCAGGCTGGGTAGTCTGGCTGGTCCCTATCTTCAAGACTGGCCGTTGCCTGCTTACCACGCTGCGTGGGGTGGCTGTTTGCATCTTGTTTTCCGCCCAGCTGCTTCAGAGGCTTTGGTCAGGCGGCCAGTGCGGAGGCCTGACCTTCTGGGTCACAGTGGAGGTCTGTGACTAAGCACAACATCTATCCCTCCCTCCCTGCATCCCCTTATCCTCCTCTGCCATCAGGAATCACCCCTGCGGCACACAGCCCGGCCAAATGACTCTCTCACTCCTTCCCTCTCCGGGTCTCTTTTCTTTTCTCACTCCCTGGCTTTCCCTCAAGCCCGAGACTCCGACCATGACAGCTGTCCCAGGCCCAGGCGCTTGGCCAGAGAAAGGGTGGCTGGGTTTGTGCCAGAAGTGTGAGACAAAACTTGTTGTAAGCAGACAGTATTAAGGACACCACTGTTTGTCTTTGTTTTTTGGGTTAAGTCAAGTTTTTCAGCTTTAATTTTAAGTTTGTCTAGTAAGATGATATTGGAAAAAAAGTCTCAGGAATAGTTTTTTTCTAAGTTGAGTGGAATTTTATTTTTTGGACATGAATTTTAACAGTGTACATGCAGAACAAATTCAGTAAGACTGTAAAATACAAATCCTGGGAAAGACCTTAACCGATGACTCCAGAGCCATATAGATAAAAACTCTTCAGAGTGAACTGCACAACCCTGTGCTTAGCTTCCATTCTGGCTCCCTTAT